GTCCGCCCCGGCTCGCTGCCCCTGCTCAGCGAACTGGCGGCCGCTGACAACTGTCTCCGAGAGCTCAGCCCCGACATCGCCCACCTGGCCTCGCTTAAGGTCAGCGGGGGCCGCCGGACGGGGCGGGATGGGGCCTTGGAATAACCCCTAACCACCGGGCACTGGGCCTGGGGGATTTCTACTCGGCCCCAAGTATCCAACTTCAGTGTCATCACCTCTAGGAAGCAGTCTCCGGCCCCCAGCTCCTCCTTCTCCTCCTCCTCCTCTTCCTCTTGGCCAGACCAGCATACACCTTGACCTGGCCAGAACTCCCACCACATTCTGTTCACAACTAGAATTTTAACACGCATCACGCTGTCTTGTAATTGTTAGCAAACTGGGCTTCTCTCAGAAGCAGGTCAAGAGCAGAGACCCATGCTGATTTTTTTTGTCTAATATTTGTGAAGTGACTGAATGAGTCTTGTGTGGGGAAGGCCACACAGATAAGGCACAGAGTTGTGAAATCATTGGAATTCGTATAACACCTTGTGTGGTTTTCCATATAATTCACTTAATTCTAACAAAAGAGCCTTTTAAGATAACGATTTACCTTATCTTAAAATCTAGGTTTACCTCTAGACTGCATTGCCTAGGTGCTGTTAACTTTACTTCTTTTGGATCTCCAGGGCTCACCTTCATGCTTGGCCCATGACAGGTGCCCATTGAATCTGCTGAGAAAGGAATGGGATGCCAGAAGTCCCAGAGCCACTACCTGACTCCAGCCTGGTGTTCTCTGCATCTTCCTGTTTCATCCTTAACAAAGCAGTCCTCGTTCTCCTGTCTTACATCCCTTGAGTTTATGCAGATATATTTTTTAAATTTTTCTAGAAAGCACATGTACTTGGCAGAGAAAGCACCACCCATGAGGGATGACCATGCCACAATCCTTTCTCCTCTATCTCTCCCATCAGCCCACATGCCTAGTGTGTTTCTCAGGTCATTGATTTAAATTGCACAGTTGGCCATGTGGGATCCAGCCATCGCTGGCTGGCCCCTGATATTTCTTAATGAAAGATGAATACAATTTAGCAACTGTTCTATTTATTTGCAGTAGAAATCACTCTTAAGATCTCATTTTATAAATTTATCTCTACCAATATAAAGATACACACATAAACACACACACATATGTATATATTATATACAAGAATGTGGGTATATTTATTGTGTGTAGCTAAGAGATAGCTCATTCTTCAATGACAGTGCTTACTGACATTTCCTGGAAGAGGTCGTAGGGCGTGACTCCCTGAGGTACTTTGGTCCCCTGGGCTTGTAGGTGTCCCTGTACGGCTAAGGGCTATATGATATACAGCACTGTTTACTCAGCCTTTCCATCCGATAGCTGTTCTGGCTTCCCACAAGGTTAACACACCAAGAGTGTATCTTAATATAGTGCCTTGCATCATGTAAGGCCACACTCAGTTATAGTTCTGAGTAGTAGTCTTTATTGTGTCCAAAACATCTTCTTCATTGAGTCAACAAGCATGTCTTATTTTCTAAATCTCAAAAGGAGGACAAATCCTTTGTTACCTGGTCTGTTCTGTTCGTAAGTGGTAGAGTCCTGCAGATTTCTATCCATCAAGAGAATGTTTCTTGCAGAGTCCTGCATGAGGCAGCAGAGTTCCTTGCTGGGCTTAGATGCTCTTTCAAGGACCATTTCCAAGGATTGGCTACCAGAGCTGTGCACAGCAGCATGGCTACCCACACTGGAGTTTTGAATACAAAGGTGGCCTCTGGTGGTGTTTCTGTTGCTGTGGGACAACAGCTGGAGTATGGAAAACTGAGCCCAGAAACAGAAATGGGTTTCACCAGCTTCCTTGTGACTGTGTGCCTTTGGCTCTTGCAGCCTGTATGCTCTCTGTGAGGAAAATGAAAGGTTAAACTCAGTACACAACGTTTTGGTCATCATGGCTACACAACCACTCCAAAACGTGGAGGCTTAAAACAGCAGTCGCTTTGTTTACTCACAGATGTCCCTTCTGAGCCAGCTCAGCTGGGTAGTTCTGCTCTTGCTATTGAGGATAATTACTCGTGTGGCAGCATCCAACTGCCTCTGGGCTCAGCTGGGATGCTGGAGTGTCTGGGCTTCTTTCTGTATGTCATCTTGGGACCCTGCCTTCCTCTCCTCACATGGGGCTCAGGGCTTCTCAGTACGAAAGCAGAAGCTGTCAGGCTTAGACCTAGAACTCACATCCTGCCACTTTGTATATTCAGGGAGGCACTGCACAAGCCCTTGAACACCAGGAGGCCTGGTTCTCTCTGCCCATTGGAGGAGCAGCACTGAAGCCTCTCTTTGTCCATTCTCCTCCCCAGGAAGAAAGGTTGCAAATGCAGATCCCTTGGTCCACCTCCTAATGCCAGACTGACTCCCTCAAGGAGTCGCCCCCGCCTAGCCTCAGACCCCGACTCATTCAGCATGACTGCCCTCTGGGGGAGACCTCAGAACACTGGGGTGTGCCCTCTAGAGAGATGCCTCCTTCTCTCCTGTTGTATACTGGGCTCTACTGCCAGGACTATGGCCAGTGAGGACAGTTTAGTCCTATTATTCCTGCCTGTGGGCCCATGGTGTTATTCCACCAGCTTCTGAGGTGGGCAGGTCGCACCATAGTTGGTGAGACCACCTCCCCATGGGGATTTCTCCTAGGCCTCTCCAGACAGCACCCTGGTCTGTTGGCTATTGTAGCTCACATACAGGCGAGCATCCAGCTGTAAATGTGAAACCTCTTATCCTGTGACAAGAGAAATTAAAAAATCCTTCCTGAATTTTCTTTTTCTCAGTCATTGCCAGAGGTGGCAGGGCCCCCTCAGGTGCCTGACAGGGTGCAGGTCCCTTGGAAGTTGGCAGACAACTCCCAAGTTGGATGTTTTATGTCAACCTCTCAACCTAGTTTGGCATCTCTTCCCCAGTAGCAAGTCCCATACAAAAGTAGGTAGCTCCATCATGCCATCAACATTGCGGGCCACGGCTAGGGAGTGTTGCCCACAGGAAGTGGCAGCTCAAGTGACTATAGTTACCCCAGCCAGCCTCTGGGGCCACCCCACGAGTAGTCCTTTCTCCCCAAAGCAAGGGTGTCTCATCTTAGGAGGCTGGAAAGCATATTCACCCACAGCTTCCCTGACAGAGTTGAGAGGTCAGCAAGCCTTTAAAATGCATCTGACTACTCCTCTAATTCTGTATGCCCAGAGGCTTCTTTCTTCCTACTGGGTGCCATTTGGGGTGCTTAGTAACAGACTAAGCATGGGTTTTCAGTAGAAACCAGCTTGTAGTCTGCTCAGTGGGGCCTCCATGCTTCTAACGGGCCCTCTGACTTTGCAGATCCAGGATCCCAATCTGCTTCTCTCGCTCTGATAACTCTCTTCTCAAAGCCCCTATTGGCAGCACAGAAGCTCCGAAGCTAGAGTGTGCTGACAGGGCTATATGCAGACTACCAGCAGTCTTGCAAACCTACCTTCCAGTACCGTGGCTCACAGGCCACTTGTTCTTCTAGACTGGGTTGGGCTTCTTCATGCACATGGCCCTCTGGGCTGGGTGGCTTGTCTCGTCCCATCCTGCAGTAGGCTAGCCCAAGCCTGTTCTAATGCTGGAGCCAGGATTCTGAGGGAGGGAAGTATCTAGAAGCCTCAGCTCTGAACCAGAGCTGTTACTGTTGCTGCGGGCTAGTGACACTGTTAGTATGATACAGTTAATGATACAGCGTGCCTCCCACATTCTAGGGTGGGGAGATAGGCCTTGCCTAGTCAAGTCTCCTGCAAGGCAGGAAAAGGAGACCTGGACTGGGCCGTGATCCAGTCAGCCCACTCACTCCACCCCACCAGATCCTGCCTGCAGTGTGGAAAAGGCCTGGAGAGGCTCAAACAGTGACAGCTCTGTTAGATCATATTAACTCAAGCCCCTGTGCCGCCTTTTCCCCACTAGAGCATCACATGCTCCCTCCTCTTCTGTGCTGGCCCCTTGTCCCCTTTCCATGGAGTTCCTGCTTCACCTTCCCAAGGTTCTACCAAGCACCTTGTCCAATGCTGGACTGAATTCCCATCCCCCTTAGAGTTTCCTCAGCCTCTGAGCCACCGATTGCTTGAGCTAGAGGTTTCCAATAGATTCATTCTTATTTCTTCATAATTTGGGGCTTGAGAAATTCGTTAAACTTGTCCTCTATTCTAGCCAAAGCAGATGATGTCTCCTGAATAATCAGACCTGCCTCCCTCTTCTCTGCTCAGGATAAAATCCACCACTCACCTCTTTCCTCCCCACCCACAGTGTGATAGGCCTCACCTAGCCATACTGACCCAGTGTGAGCACCCAAAGGGGACTGCATGGTGTCACCGTGTCTCTGGGCACAGTGCCTAGTATAGCGGCCACTATGTGGAAGCCCTCCTGTGGGGCTCCTCTTGGGGTCAGGTCTTGGCTTCCCATCAGCCCTGGAGAAACACAAGAAGGAAATATTCACTCACAGTGCTTACTGCCACCACCCGGGCTAGGATTGCTGCAGAGACAGCCACACCAGACCTGGGCACCTGGTGGGGAAAGATAGAGGGGAGGAGGCTGGGCCTCCTCTTCCCACACCAGCAGAGTCCACTTGTAAAAGTGGCCATCCTCACATGAGTGTCATCCTACACTTGTACAAGCTTAGAGAAAGAAGTCCTAGGAATGCCTGTGGTGCTGCTGTGCTCCTTCCATTATGTCAGGGGCACCAGCAATGCATGGGGTCAAAGTGCCACCAGGAATAGCATCAAGGGGGTTCTTTTCCAGAATAAAGGCTTCGCAAGCCTCTGGGGTGGCACAGACAGTGGTGGCCCCCGTGCCCTCTTGCTGGCTCATACAAAGAGCTAAGAACCCATCATCATCAAAGTAATTTGCTATTTTCCTTCTCACAGGAAATAGAACGTTGCTCATTTTCTTACTGGTGACTTCATCAATATGAAGGAGAGTCATGGTGTTCAGAGATTTTTCTTTTAGCTTATTTAATTAAAAACACATAGCACTATCTGGGGGATCTGTTCCTTGAAGAAGTCCTGGTTTGTTCCTGAAACAAGTGCACATTTCATAACCAGACCCCGGTTGCTGCTTTTTCTCTGGTGTCATGATTGCTTTGAGATTTCATAGCTGTTACCATGCCTCTTTATCAAGTTAGAAGAGGGGAGTCTTTGAGTAAAATAGGATTCTGTAGAGTTTATTGTCATCATTGCCACCTCCTTCCCATTGGAGAAGCCCTTGGGTGAATGCCAACCTTGTGGGATACAGAGTTGGGAGTGCCTCTGCAGGAAAACAGGTCTTGGGTTATGTAGCTACAGCTTCTGGAGAAATGCAGCACAGCGGATGGGCAGGGATGGCTTTCCTGGGTGGCCAGTGGTCTTCACCTGCCCTGAGGCAGGGTCCTGAGGTCTCTGCAGAATCCAAGCTAACATGCCCTTGGCATCTCTTCCCAGACTTTGGACCTCTCCAATAACCAGCTGAGCGAGATCCCTGCTGAGCTTGCAGACTGCCCCAAGCTCAAGGAGATCAACTTCCGAGGGAACAAGCTGAAGGACAAGCGCCTGGAGAAAATGGTCAGCGGCTGCCAGACCAGGTCCATCCTGGAGTACCTGCGAGTTGGAGGCCGCGGGTGTGGGAGATGCAAAGGCAGGGCTGATGGTGCCGAAAAAGAAGAAAGCCGGAAAAAGAAACGAGAGAGGAAGCAGAAGCGAGAGAGTGGTGAGGGGGAAGACGACGAGGTGGGGGACACAGGCCGGCTGCTCCTAAGGGTCCTGCATGTCTCGGAGAACCCCGCTCCCCTGATGGTCAGGGTCAGCCCCGAGGTCAGGGACGTGCGGCCGTACATCGTGGGGGCCATCGTGAGAGGCATGGATCTGCAGCCTGGAAACGCACTTAAACGCTTCCTGACAGCCCAGGTGGGTGCTCAGGGCTTCTGAGGAGTATGGGAGCACCTTGTGTCAGAGGGAGACAGCTGGTGTCGGTGAGGATAGTATGAGGCAGGATCTGGCTCCACCGGCCCCAGGGAGCTCTGTCCCTTCCTCCTCGGTCCCCGGCAACCCCTTTGTCCAAAGCACCTTCTTATTAAGAAATACCTCTATCCTTGCCTGGGTCAGGCGTGGTCTGTTGCCTCTCTATCCTTTGTCTTCCACATACAACTTTTGCTGTTTATTCTGTTTTTTTGAAGACAACTTACTGCTGTTAGAAATTGGTGTTTCTAGGTTTTCTGATTATTTCGGTGGGTTTTCTGATTTCTACCATAAATTATGCATTTAATGTTGTAAACACTAAAATCATTCTTGCCAGCATGTTCTTTTTTTTTTTTTTTTTTCTTTTGGAGAAGTTTTTGCTACAAGGGCGTGTGTGTTTGCCATATCAACAGAGACAGAGAGACAGAAAGCAAGTAATCACCCCCCAGGGGGAATAGCCACACCACAATCCCTTCTCCTCCATTCTCCTCTCGGGATCTTGGGCACACACACACGCGCGCCCGGCATGAGTTTTAAGCCACCAGGTCCAGGATGCGAACCGTGGTCGACTACATGGGAGTCCAGCGACATAGCCATTACGTGAACTGCTGGTCCCCTTGCCAGTATGTTCTTAAGTGAGTTGTGTGGGTTTGCTTAATTTCCTAATTTGATGTTTTTCTGTGGCAGCTGCCCATCTTTTAAAATAAAAAGCACATCTTCGCATCTGGGGAAAGCCTCCTGGTGCGTCTCACAGTGGCAGACACACCTTTCTGTGAGGCCACGTGACTCGTTTTGTTTTAGGAATCATTTTTCCCACAGTGTAGGGAGGATCAAACAGGCATGTTAAGCCGAGGTTTTAGAACTTAAAAAGAAAATGTGCAGGAATAATTTTTTTAAGTCATACTTCAATTTTTTCAGTCATAAATTTTAGTTCAGGATAAAATCTTTGAAATCTCAAAACCTGAGTTCTAGAGTCAAAGAAAGAAGAAATTCTGCTGATAAACAGCTTACATAGTGTTTCTAAAAATGGTTCCACAAAATAAATACTTGGCCAGGCAAAGACAGGATGCAGAGGGGGAAAGCCATTTTGTAAAGATAAGCAACAGTGTTGTCAGGGTGAGAATGAGGACCAGGATCCCCAGCCATGCAGGCTGGACAAGGGTCATGTATGGATGCCTTGCTGTGTTTGGGGCAGACGAGAGCTTTGCTGTCTTTGCTCTTGTGTTGCAGACTAAGCTCCATGAAGACCTCTGTGAGAAGAGGACAGCAGCCACTGTAGCGACCCATGACCTTCGTACAGTCAAAGGGCCCCTGTTGTATGGCGCCCGGCCTCCACAAGATCTGAAGGTGCACCAGCTCTTCCCTCGCTTGTCTGTCACGAGGTTTTCCTTAGTTTTCTTTAAAAAAAAAAGCACATATGCTGATGATGGAGCCCAAGCATTTCAGAGTAGAACCCCTAGCAAATGCAGAACGTGAAATAATAAAACAGGCCGTGTTTTCAGTTACTTTTGAAGCAGTTGCATAATTGTCAGAATATGCATCAAAAGAGGCAGTAATATGAAAGCAACTTCCTTCATCTACTTACTAACTTTTAGCCAGACATTTTGGGTTATATCCCAGTTGTAAAACCTCTAATTTGGGATTGGATTGAATTTAGAGTGAGGTGTTGCATCATGGTGCTTTTCCTGGGCTGAGGAGTTCTGGTTGGTGGGGCTCCCTGGTGTTTCTACTGCTGACCTCAGGTGCTGAGCTGCATGCCCGACTTGGCCACTCCAACCACTCAGCTCCATTGCCCTCCACTGGCTCTCCAAGGGTCGAAAGACTTCTCTAAACATCCAGTGCATTAGGTAGGTGTAAGGTTAAGCCTAGCTTTGATGTAGGTGAGCATTTGGCCCTCAAGTCCCCAAAGGGACCACTGAAGGTGCAGCCTGCATGCATGATCACATGGGACATGGAGGGCAGGCTTGCTCCAGGCTAGCTTGATTTCCCATGCCTTTCTCTGTCATACAGGTTAAGGGGACATTTGAAAGGGACCTTAATGCTTAAAAGCCAGAATCGTAGGGCAAGTGAGTTTTGCGGTTGTGATCTTAGTATGAATGATTGGGTTTCTGCCCTGATAGATTGTCCCCTTGGGGCGGAAGGAAGCCAAGGCCAAGGAACTGGTAAGGCAGCTGCAGCTGGAAGCCGAGGAGCAGAGGAAGCAGAAGAAGAGGCAGAGTGTGTCAGGTCTGCACAGGTACGTCAGCCAGTGCCTGGGACACCACAGCATGCTGTCCTCCACCAAGCTCACTCTGAGGGAGCGCCTATCGTCACCACAATTTGAAAATGCCTCCATACAGGTGTCAAAAGAAAAGAAATATCTTTCAACTTCCTACAAAAGAAAATAGCTTTAAATCCAGATGAGCCATGGTGGTCATGTAGCTTTCTTTAGAGGGAGCAAGGTTTTAGTAATAGAGATTTTTTGTACTTCACAGGAGAATGGCCCTCAGAACAGGGCATTAACTAGCCATTAGGAAGGAGCACAAAGTGCCAGTTAGACCTGCAGCACTGGATCTGGGTCCTGTGCTCTTGGGAGGCATTGCTGACTAAGGTCATTCTTTGGACCTGCTTTAAACAAAGTGGTCACTTGTAACTAGCCCCGTTGTCATTTCTGTCTGAATTCAGATTTTTGAATATTTTGTTCTGTGAAACAGGTTAAACTAGTATCCTTATTATTATGTTTGTATAAAGAACATTTTCATTTGTCCAGTTCAACTCCTGGTGTTATCTTAGCCTGCTATTGCCTGAGACCAGGTAATGAATAAAGAAACAGAGGTTTATTTGATTCACAATTATTTGACTGCAAAGTCTAAAGGCGAGGAGCTGATGTCAGGCCAGCCTCTAACCTGGCCTACAGAAGCAGAGAGACTGATGGGCATGTGCAGCGAGAGAGCAAGCTGTGAGCAGCTCTCTTCTTCATAGCAACCCACTCTCACAAGAACTAACCCCTTCTCACAAAAGCTAGAACTCAACTCAGTTTCTCTCATGAGACAGCGTTAATGAGACCACTCTACTGCTTCCATGATCCAGTCACCACAGTCTAGTCATTACCCACTAAGATCAGATCCCAAACCATGAACTTTGTAGGGTGGAGTAGGCAAGCCATTATCCAAATCATAACAGGCTTTTTTTTTTTTTTTTTAATACTTACACCTATAATTTGTACTTCCTCCCACACAGGTATCTTCACTTACTGGATGGGAAAGAAAATTACCCTTGCCTTGTGGATGCAGATGGGGATGTGATTTCCTTCCCACCAATAACCAACAGTGAGAAGACAAAGGTGGGCAGTGGCTATCAATATGGATGTGTTTCAGGCTATGCTGGGTAGAAATTAACACTGTATCTGTCCCATTGTGAAGCCCCATTGTTGTGTGCAATATAAAGTGCAGGCCAGAAGGCCAGCTCCATGGCCTGGTGGTTAAGGCAGCCAGATCCCACAAGGCTGGCTCCACAGTTTGAATCCCAGCCCCAGTGGCTTGTTCAGAAACAAGCCAGGTGCGTGTGCATGCATGTCCAAAAATCTCAACAATGTGGTGAAAGAGTGAGGAAGAGATTGCAGCATGACCACACCCCTTTGGGGAGTACTTTCTCCCTCTTCCTCTCCTATTATCTGCCCCTCTGGTGAGTGCACATGACCTCTTGCATTTTTTTTTAAAACAAACAAAAAAAAAAAAACAAGGGACTGGCAGGTAATGTGGTTAAGGACTCCCACAGGGCTGTGTTTGGAGTCTTAGATCTGGCGGCTTGCTTTGTCATTTTCTCTCTCTCTCTCTCTCTCTCTCTCTCTCTCTCTGGTCAAATGTAAAACTTAAATAAATGAAGAAATAAATAATTCTTTGAAAAATAAAAAATAAAAACAGAGAGTGCAGGCCTTAAAGGGACAGACTGGAGGACTCTTGACTTCTTAGAGTTGAGTTCCTCATTCTTGGTGCCAGTGAAACCCAGGAGCTGCCATCCAGGCAGCACTCCAATTCCTGTGTCTCCTTAGGAAGGTGACAGTCTTGGTTTCTGTAACACCGCCTTAATAGATTTTTCTTCAGAGCAAAGGTTGTGGTTGCTGATACCACTTTTGATAACTTTATTCTTTTCTGAACTCTTTTGTTTTTAAGATTAAGAAAACAACTTCTGATTTGTTTTTGGAAGTAACAAGTGCTACCAGTCTGCAGATATGTAAAGACATCATGGATGCCCTCATTCTGGTGAGTAAGCCCAGTGGCAGTTTGAGAATCCACTTCTGGGCCACAGGGGCCAGGTGGTTCTTTGTTTTCCTGCCAGCCTTTGACTAGCGGCCTCTTGCTTACTACACTGGGTTACGGCAGCATGTCTTCCTTGAGTCATTTCCCATTTCTAGGTTAAAAAGATATTTTTTTTACTTGCAGAAAATGGCAGAAATGAACAAATACACTTTAGAAAATAAAGAGGAAGGATCACTGTCAGACACAGAAACTGAAGCAATTTCTGGACAACTTTCGGATTCCAAAACAAATCCAAATGCTGGAAAGGATGGACATTCCCCACTGGTGGTGGAGCAGGTCCGAGTGGTGGACCTGGAAGGGAGCCTGAAGGTGGTATACCCGTCCAAGGCAGACCTGGCCACTGTGCCTCCTCACGTGACTGTCATTCGCTGACAAGCCTGGCTACTGCCGTCAGAGCCAATGGGCAGCTCGTCACATGTATCATTGTTTTGCCTGTTTTACAGAGGTTTATATGTGGTGATATTAAATTATTCACTACATTTTAACCTCAGTTTTTTTCAAAGATATATGTATTTAAGTTTTTCAGGATGATTCTGTTATAAAGTGAAGCTATATTGTCATTTCATCACGAAATTGATTTTACTGTTTTTCATGAAATCATTCAGGTGGCAGAATTAACTGTTCAAAATGTTCCGAATCATGTTGAAACACAGCAAATAACTACTTACAGAAAAAAAGACACTACAGTTGTTTTGAATATTCACTTCTCAATTGGGAAGCAAATGACATACATTTTATTGAACTACGCAATTATTTTTCTATGATGTTGCATCTTTTTAGATCATATTGTGCCAGTAGTATGGCCTAGAAATGTGCAAGGGCATCATGTTTTCCAGCTTGCAGCCATCGTCATCTTTTTATTAAAAAAAAAAAAACAAAAAAAAACATAAAAAAATAACCTCAGAATTGGCAACATTATTTTTCTTATTTTGCTATTAGAATGTCTTAGGGAGAATAGAGAGGTATTGACCGTTCCAGGCAAGCAGGCCCATGAGCCTGAGGAAGCAGCAGGAATTGGCCTTGGTGCTACTGGGCCAAGAGGGAGGGGACCCAGCAGCGGACTTTTCATAGTTTGTGTGTTAGCACTGCAGCGACAGGCAGGTGCAGGAACCCCATCTCAGGCAGATGTGTGGGTTTCCATGCAGCAGCAGGACAGCTAAAGGGCACACACAACAGTGACTAAAGAGGGCATGAGGTTTTTGAGCTAAAAATTGACAAATAGGTGTTGGATGGTTCTTGAGCATCTTATATTGTAGATACTTTTAGTTTGGAATGTCTAGAATCCTAGACCATCTGTGTCTGTATTACCTACATGATCTGTGTGTGCACCTGAACATGTATACACACCCTGCCTCTCCCTGGGGCTGGAGGTGCCCAGGTCATAGGGCCCGGGCCAGCTTTAGAGAAGGCAGCTTCCACTGACCTCACTGCCTTAGGATCTGTTGCTGTATAAAAAACTGATCTGTTGGCTTTTAGACACCATTTGTCCATTGCTCGGTGGCCTTTGACCTAACAGTTTCTGTGCTCTGGGGGAACATTTGCAGGAATCCTACCAACACAGGCATTAAGTGGTCAGAACCAGAGAGGCCCCAGGGCTCACAGGTTAGGCAAACTAACAAAGCCAGGTGGTTTTTCCAGACTTTGTAAGAAATAGGCCATCTGCCTTGAGACCCCAACCTGGCCATTAAGGCACTGCCAGACTGTCTGATCAGTCCTGCTGGAGGTGGGGACTCCAGGTAGGACAAGGGAGACAGGCCCAAGCTATGTCCTTGCCACTTAGCCAGGCTATAGTGGGTGTGCCAGATGATAGCTTTTCTTTCCGTTCTGCTTTCCCCAAAACCTACCAAATGTCTGCATATACTGTGGCCCCTGCTTGTCACTTCATGACCTCTGCTGGCCACTGGAGGCTGCAGAAGTCATAGCTGGTGTGGGGTCTGTGTGCTGGGAGGCCAGAGATGGCATAGCACCTCCCCTAGGCTGGGACTTCACTTGAGCTCTAGGCCTGGAACCCAGACAGTTGCCCTGAGAGTCACTAGGCTGCCACGGCTGGGAGTTACCCTTTCTGTGGCCTAGCTTAGTGGTCACAGAGGGTTGAGGTACCCTCTTGGCTCCCAGGAACTAAGGGCCTAGTGGCCACGTTGTACCAGATCTATCATCACGGACATGGTTAAAGCCCCAGCTCTTTCTGTGCTCTTTTCTGATGCAGTTTGATGATGTGTGAGATTCTGGAAATGTAATTTCATCAGAAAGCCTCTTTGATGTTTTCTGTCCCACTCTAATAAAAATAAATAAAAACATTTAATAAGAGGCATCTCAGTTGTTGCCAAGTGGTTCCTTTCTTGCCAGTATTTCAAAGGTCCTTGCTGGTCATGAAAATGTATACTAGTCCAGTGGGGAAACTGAGGACCTGACCTGTGTTGTAATTACTTGCTGCCCTGCCGCCCTAGTCCCAACCTCTCAACTTTCAACCTTCCCAGCAGGGAACTCAAGGCTTTTTTATTTTATTTTGAGAGGTTTTTGCTTTAGGGTACGTGTGCTCGCCAGAAAGAAAGTGAGAAATCACCCCTAGGGAGGATGGCCACACCACCATCCCTTCTCCTCTCGGGATCTTGGGCATGCACACGCCCGGCGTGAGTTTAAGCCAGTAGGTCCAGGACTCGAACCATGGTTGACTACATGGAGTTCAGCGACATAGCCATTACACCAACTGCTGGTCCCAGGGAGCTCAAGGCTCTTAATGCAGTCACACAGACACAGCCCAGAGAAGATGGTGTCCTCGACCCAGAATCTTGGTGACTGACAGGGGCTTCCCAACCCTGCTGGGCTGTGTGCCTGAAGCACAGATGGACCAGGGTCACAGACTGCCTGCACCCTCACCCAGGGCATACTCCTATTAATCCCGTCACTTGGACCCTCATCCCAGCAGATCTTCCAGTTCAAGAATCTCTGGAAACACTCAGTGGCCACTTGGCAAGGTCCCGTTCCATCTTCTCCCCAACCACCCGCAGCTGTAAGGATATAGCCCAGCCCAGTCCAGGGGGCCGTGGGGTGGGCCTGGAGCCACTGCCTACCCCCAGCCACTCGGGTCTGACTATGGCCTGGGGGTGACTCACTGAGGTGGCTTATGTGGAGGCTATGGGTAACTTGCATGTCTGAACCAATGAGCACCCCAGGGCCTCAGTCTTCATTCTTCCTTGTAGGGTACACCAGGGATGTTGGTGGAACCGCTGGACTGAGGACAAGGATGGTGGGCATCTGCTAGGGCATAGACCAGGTGCACTGCGGCTCTCAGTCTGAGAGCACCTGGCTGGCTATGGGTACACAGGGCAGAGCAGGGCAGGCTCCAGGCTGACCCCAGTGTCAGCTTCTGCCATCCATAGCCTCTGCCCAATTGTGGGGTGAAGAAGAGCATTTGTGAGGACTAGTGGGCATTGCCTAGGAGTGCCGGGCTAGCAGAGAAACTCCCAGTCATCTCCCCCTCCTTTGACTGGCCAGTCTCCCTGATGCATGCAATGCCCCTGCTTACTGTTCCTCCTTGTACCATCACCCAGCCATCCTGTGCCCTGGGCTCAGCCTCAACTGGCCTGTCAGCAGGCCTGCTCCTGTTGGAGAGCTGATGGGCCAGCCAGTGCTCCCATCCCTCTGTCCTGTGCCCTCCCCACCTCCTGGCCAAAGTCACAGCAGGCCTTGGGAAAGCCCAGCCCCAGAACTAGAGCCCACAGATGCCACCACTAAACTCTGCTGAGCCCCAGTAGCTGCTGCCACCCCTGCAGTATCCCAAGGCAGTGCCCATCATACAGTGGCAAGGGCCCTAGGAGGGACTTCAGTTGGACCCTCCCTCCCCAGGAGCATGGCCCAAATGGTGGGGGGAGGTTTCTGGAGACAAGTGCCTAGGCCTGGACTTTCAGCATAGGGGAAGGCATTTGCCCAGAGGTCAGGGCTGGCTGGACCAGACTGCCCCAACCCCACAGCAGGCTTCCCGAGGCTGCTTGGAGACCTCAGGTGGCCTCGTCCTTGGGTTCAGAGCAGAGACCTTGAGGCACTGTGGAAACTGGCTGTGCCACAGCCTTGGCCGCGTCCCTCCCGTTTGCATGATGCTGTGAGTCGGCACTTGGTGGGCTCCCAGTCTGCAGGCAGACACAGCCTCTGCCTTCTGTTCTGCTGTGTGTTCTCCCTACTCCATGCCCATGAGGATGGAGGTTGCTGCTACCTCCTGCCCTCCGCCTTGGGGTAGGGACCACTTTCCTAGGGGGTATTTCTGGTAAGATCTACAGGACCTGAGATGGACTTCGTGCTAGGCAAGGGTCGAGTGTATGGCTCAGGAACATGTGCTGAGAGGAGGCCAGAAAAGTGGCTGAGGAGATGGGACAGAAAGCTCTGAGATGGCCAGAGAAGCCCTGGGGCATGTCAGACCTTGTGTCAGGAAGGGTGAGATGGGCACAGGCCTGGCCATGTCCTGACCAGAAGGCCCAGCCAGGAAGGGCACATTCCATGGCCAAGAGCCAAGCAAGAGAGACTTGCCAAGGAACAGGCTAGGTTGGCCTGCGTCACACCTGGCTGGGGCAACCAGAAGAGAGGCTGTCATCCACTGTTAACGCATTTAATGATGCCTCCGTGCAGACTCTCAGCCCACAAGAAGCACTTGGACAGTCAGGCTTTCCCTGGGGCAGGGAGCAGGTGGCCGGCTCCAGGACCAACTCAGCTCTGTCCTTTCCATTGCCCCTGCAAGGAAGACTTGGTGGCAGGTCTGGGCCCAGGCCAGGAGCTAAGGCCTCTGTCCCCACTCTGCTCAGGAAACATCCAGGGTTGGGTTCAATCTCCTGCAGAAGGTGAGTGAGTGGGTGGAGGGGGATAAACAGCCCTTGTCACAGCTATGTTTGTATATCAGAAGTGAGAAAGGCCCAGAAAGGGCAAGGGCCAACCCAGGGCCACACAGCTCTGCAGTGTCCCTACAGGGAGGAAACCTGCAGGGAAGAGCCATCTTGGGGTTGCCAGGGAAGGTGGGCTTGCATGGTCTGCAAAGGGCAACCCTCATGCTGCCTCGACAAGGAAGGCCTGGGCTGGGGGGAGGACAGTGGCCTGGTGTGCAAGGGCTAGCTGTGTCCTGCAGCTATTGCTGATGCTAGCTCGAGTCTCTTTGCCAAGTGTGTCCCTGTGGTTGTGTGTGCCAATTTGTCTTGTGATCCTTCAAAGGACTTGTGTGCTAGGAGCACCCTCATGTGGGGCCTGTGCAGACTGGTGTCTTCATAGGACAACATGCGTGACCTGTGTGCTATCTGCCTCTGGGGTCCATTATGTAGGAGGGGGTCTGTCTGTAGAGGGGTGTCCTAGGTAGGGGGTCTGTGTATATGGAGGGGTTCCATGTTCATAGGGGTGTCCCTCCTAGCCTGGACCCCCATGTCTGTGGCCAGTCCCAGATGTGCATGCCAGGTAGCACTTATTTGCACTTGTGCACATAGTAGCCAGTGACGTAGCCCAGGATGAAGATGACCCAGAAGAGAGCCACTCCACCAAGCACCTTCATAGCGATCCCCAGTTTGCCAGTGCACAGCTTCCGGGAGACCCTAGGGTGAGAATACCGGCATGTGAGCCCCAGGCCAGGGCTGCTGGAGGGGCCCAAATATACTGTGGGGGGTTGAGCTAGGGGAGAGTGGTGACCAGCCGAGTCAGGAGGTGTGACCTGGAGTCAGGAAAGCCCCACCCAAGGGAAGGCTGAGCACCAAGGTTTTCTGAGACTACCAGGTTGTGGGCACCCTACCAGGCTGGAGTGGAGGGCTGGGCCCCATGGGCAGATGTGGCTTGCAGGGGGGGTTGAGGCAGGCATCTGCATAAAGGGAATCCCTCATGTTGGGGGCAGAAGGGTTCCTCATCCAGAGCATCCTCACCTCTCACAGTTGGAGGCCTCCTCTGAGCTGGACACGGCTGCCATGCTGACTTCATCCCGGCTGCTGCTGTCGTCCCACCTGCTGTAGTGGACACCGCTCTCCTGAGGTTGCATGCTGTGGGGGCTGCAGCGGGAAGAGCTGAGGCCTTCATAGGTAGGGAGACCGAGGCAGGCGTTAGGGCTCTGACTTGGCTGTAAAGCACAGCCTCATCAAAGGCAACAGCCAAGGCCCTGTCTGCCCTGGGGGTACAGAGGGGGATGCAAGGTGGGCTGGTCACTTACCCACATCAGTTCATGTGACCTACTAGGTGACCAAGACAGAGTGGTTAAGTAACTTGTGAGGGTCACACAGAAAGGACAAGGACAAGCAGGAATTCCAGTGCAGGGAGCCTGAGAAGTGGCTAAGCCCTGACCTCAGGAATGTGAGAGGCCTGCATTTCCTGGGGCCTCCCAGTGCATTTATCAGGAGAGGCCAGCATAGCTGGCTCCACCCACAAAGACACAGCCAAGGCTGCTGTGGTCCCTGATAACTATGGTCCTCCTCAATGCTGACAGATAAGGCCCTACTGCTGACCTCTGGAGAGGCCAGCAAGGAAAGGGATGGGGCAAGGCTGGGCAGCAGGCCTGGGGGTGGTGGCTGGTACGGCCAGTCCTCTCTGGGGAAGAGGCCTGGCTGGCCCTGGGCAGCAGCAGCAGCTGTGTCCTCAGCCTGTACATGCTGCAGCCCCTCCTCCACCCTCATCTCAGGGAGGGGCCAGGGACCATAGGGATAGATCTGGCCACATCCTGACCCACACGCCTGTCCCTGTGCCTTGCCAGAGAGCCCAGTCGAAACGGGTGGAAGGGAGCACATTCCAAGGCCAAGAGCTGACCAAGAGGGGGAGACAGAGATAGGACGGTCACAGTACCAGGTGGGTGCCTGGAACAGGAAGGGCCTGCCACAAGGCCAGCTCCCGGTTCACTCCAATTCCCACAGGGCTGGGATTCATCTTCGCATTGCAGCACTCAGCTAGTGCCCCACAGGCAGAGGGGGCGGGATTGAGGTGGGGGCTCCATTCGTTGCTGCTCCTGGCTGCCGACAGGCTGTGCTGGGCACTTGACTCAGTATCTCAGTGATCCTCCAACCTCTGTACAGCCTCCTGTTTACCAACAGGAGACAGCACCCAGATGTCTGTCTGGGGTTAGATCTCTGGTCTCCCCAGCGTCCCCTCCCGGTATCTGGTCCCAGCTGTGGGGGTCCTCAAGCAGACAGAGGTCTCACTTCTACGGGCTGAGACTACTCGGCCCCCAGCAGTAGGAAGTGCTGACCTTTCTCCCTGGTGACCCTGCACAGGGAGGCCTAAAGGCACAGCAGGCTACTTACTATAGAGAGCCGACCCAGAAACCAGCAAGCCAGGCAGTTCTGAAATCCCCCAAGTTTCTATAACTACCCTTCCCCAAATCCCAGGACAGCAAGGAGGAGGAAGGGCTCTGTCTCAAAGGTACACAATATGTCTCCAGGGGGAGCACGTACTCAGTAGTGTTCATCGGAACACGGGTTCCACTTTCTCAGTGTGCTGAAGAGAGGGGTGGTTCTGTCTGCTGGCCACTCAATCTTCTTCTAGGCAGTAAGGTGATAGCCATGGCCAAGGCTAAGACAAACTTAATATCCATCTCTGCTTTCCCATGTTGCCCAGCTGTGGGCAAAGTGCCAAGTGCAGGGAGTATGTACATAGAGGAGGCTTTTTTCTTTCCATAAAAGAAACAGTTGTCAGCTCCTTCTTCTCGCCTTGAGATGATGGCTGGAGCTGCAGCAGCTGTCTTGGAACCAGAGACCCATACAACACTATCTCTAGGAGTGCTGAGTCTCAGGGCCTGCAGGTGGCAGTGGTTGTGGTTAAGGACATTGGACTCCCACATGGCCAACTGCAGTTCGAATCCTGGACTTGGCAACTTGCATTTTCACTTCCCCTTCCCCTTTCTCTCTCTCACTCTCTCGTTCTGTCCCCCTCTGGTCAAATTAAAATAAATAAATAAAGTTAAATAAAATAATTCTTAAAAAAAAAAAAAGAGTGCTGAGTCTACAAATCCACACCAACTGCCCATTTGTAGATGTGAGGGGAGCAAACCCAAATGTGTTCAGACTGGGATAGCAGGTTCCTGTTATTTGCTGAAATGGCCTTTAAGTCATCCTGTGTGAACAAAGCCACCGGAGTCGTGAGGCGCCTACAACCAGGATCTTGAGGGCTCCCAGCACTCAGCTGCACATAGTCTGTCAGTCACAGGTGTAGCAGGAGAAGCCTGTCAGGGATGCCCTCTTTTCAGGAACTCTTTAGCACACAGAATTCTTTTTTTTTTTTTCTTTTTTTTTTTCTTTCTTTCTTTCTTTCTTTCTTTCTTTTTTTTCTCTCTCTCTCTCTCTCTCTTTCTCTCTTTCTCTCTTTCTCTCTTTCTCTCTTTCTCTCTTTCTTTCTTTCTTCTTTTTTTTTTTAACTCTACTGTGTGTGCGCTCCGGAGAGACAGAGAGGCAGAAAGCAAGAAATCACCCTCCAGCGGGGAAGGCCCCTCTGCAATCTTTTCTCCTCCATTCTCCTCTCAGGATCTTGACATGCACACACATGTGCCCGGTGTGAGTTTTAAGCCATTGAGTCCAGGACTCGAACCACGGTGGACTACGTGAGAGTCCAACGTAACCATTACGCCATCTGTTGGTCCTGGCACAAAGAATTTTGTACATGAGACCCCTTCACTTTGAAAGCATTTCCGAAACTCCCACACTTACCAAAGAATCCAGGAGGGGAACGCGGGGGAGGGGGAATTTAGCTTCTACAGTTTGGGAGATGGTCAGGACCTAGCCGGTGGATCTCAACTCCTTAAGGGGAGCAGGTCAAAATCTGAAGTCCAGGCAATGCATCAAGCCCTAAAAAAAAAGAAAAGAAAAAGGTGAAGAGAGGAGCCGCTCTGCTCCGGCCCTAGAAGAAAAAGTGGCGCTGGGAATGTCCCCAGACGGCCACCGGGAGCTTCCCGACCTAGCAGTCCCTCTGCAGGATAGGCCCGACGTCCGACCAGGGCCCAAAGCCCGTAATTTTCAGGCCCCGGAAGCCTAGGCTTGGAAAGTCGGAGAGAGCTGGGGGCCGACCCACCTCCTCCCTCCAGCCAGTCGCGAAACGACGCTCCAGTCTTCAACCCGCGTCTCTCACCTCAG